TTATTCCTATATTGCAAACATGTTGAATAAGTGTAATAAACATAAATTGTAAAAAAAATGTCGAATAAGCCCCGGGGTTGAATATCGGGGGGGGGGGGGGGGCTGTCCACAAGTACCTATGAAAGGGACAAATCCTTGAGCATGTTGAGTGGGAACAAAGTTGTTTTCTATGTAAGTAGATTCTGTGTATGCATGTTAAAATGCAAGGTTGACTTGACTGCAGAAATCGGAATGCGTAAGCATATCTGATTTGGCTTTAATTTTAGCATGCTCGGCCTGTTTCCCGTTATGCGATTTTACTACAAAAACTGAAGAAGCAGAGCCAGAGGCACGAACAATACAGTTTGTATTATTTTTATTTGTAATTAGTGACAGCAAGAAATAATGATAAAATAATGTAAGCGGGGATATTTTTATCCAATGCATAATCCAATTTTAATTAACAAATGAATTTTCAATCATAAATCATTGTTTTAAAGATGTGGTTGTTTTCACGTAGAGAATGGAGGCTTTATTACGTGCGGAGTTGGACGATGAAGAGTTGAAGTGTTTGGGCATGGGGGGATCAGGGTGTATTAGCGAGGGGCTGACATACCAGACAGGGACGGGACAGAAAATATTTGTCAAAATCAACAACAAATCAGAGGTCTGCAATTTAGTTATAGAATACATCAAATGTAAAGTACAGAGAAAATCTTTTAAACATTTTGTTAAAATGAACTAAAAATTATTAAATCGGCATTTGAGAGAGAGAGAGAGAGAGAGAGAGAGAGAGCTTCATACAAATTTTAACCATATTATTTAAAAAACCACAAACACAGGAAACCCCTCTCTAAAATAATAAAGTAAACTAGAGGCGTTCTTGTAGCTAGTGCAACAAGTGGTCTTCCGACCAAATTTTCATTGAGTTCTATGCTGTGTCATCCCATGAAATAGTTTTCAGAATGTATTTTTTTCGTAAACGTCCGTTTACAGCATTCTCTCAACATACATAATGATTATTACAGGTATTCCTCAAAATATCTGAAAAAATAGCTTTTTAAAAATCGGCAAAATCTTTTATACATTTTGTAAAAGAGGGAAAGGTTATTTGCAACTGAAAAAAGACAGAAACAAAGAAATGTTTTTGATTGAAATGCCCCCAGCGGTATTCGAACCCCCAACAGTGGGACAAAGTTTAGATCGGTCTTATCTTTTCAATATATAATGCACGCATCAAAATATTGAACATAATTATATTTAGATTTCTTATTAGACACTCTATAAACCCAGGTCCCTGTAAATCCTAAAGAAAAATTATGAAAAACAAAAAAAGTTGAAGAATTGGACTTTTTGAGTTCACTTCCGTTTGTGACCGGAAGTGCCAACAACGAAAGATAAAGGTCCTTCCCCATATTGGAATTTGATGTTCTGTCACCTCAGTGAGTTTCATTTTCATCTTTAGCCCATCTCGAGAAAAATGCTGGACAAAATGCCTTTTAAAAAATACAAATTTCCCCCAAAAATTGCTAAAAAAAAATAATTTCGAAAAAATGAAAAAACACATCTGGAGTTATTCTCATGATGCATCATCCCTGAAAAAATCTTTCAAATACATTCATGCACAAATGAGATATCGCCCTAATTATGAAAAAAAATAATGATAATACTAACAGACGAAAAACAATATGGTCTTCCGAAGGAAGGAGTGCAGAGCTCACTTCGGCATAGACTTTACAGAGTAAATTCTTAAAAACAAATCAATAGATCATAGGCAACTTTTTAAAAATTATTTTTTCGTTTTTTTCACTTGGATCTATTCTATTTTAAATATTTCAGGATATTTATTATTGCAATTAATGAAATGGATGAAGAAATTTAAACAGAAGCGGTGTCTTTAGGATGAACTTTTATTAGTAATGGAAGTAGATTATGTTTAGATCATTCCTTGAAATCTTATCTACCTTACTGCTTCAACTAGAATTTGGGCTCAAAAAGACTACAAAAGTTTATCCATGTGATGCCAAATGTCAAAAGTCTTTGATTTTGTATGCACATATGTAATGTGTTATGCAAAGAGACCTAAACTTTTAAAGTCACTGTGTCTTGTGCTATTAAATATTGTTATAATTTTTGGTTACATATATCATACATGATATTAACAGGCTGGACGAATGTTTGATGGGGAATATAAAAGTTTGGAATACTTGTATGCAGCAGGAGTTATTCAGGTTCCAAAACCAATTAAGGTACAACATGAAAAATTGTGACAGTTTGGTAAATTTACACAACATTCATATATCTTCTTTTTATAAATATACATTTAATTATACCCGCACTTTCTAAAGAAAGTTCGGGTATATTGTTGTTACTCATGTCCGTCCGTCCGTACGTCCGTCTGTCACACTTTTCTTCCCTAAACTCCTCTAACATTTTACACAGTAGGCTAATCATCTTTTGGGAGATGGTTGGTGGTGTCATGTAGATGTGCAGTAAGGTTTCGGAATTTTGATTTTGCCTTGGGGGGTCAAATGGGGGTCGAAAAATGACGTTTTTTATGCAAAAAGCCTCGTCTTCCCTGAACTCCTCTTACATTTTACACAGTAGGCTAATCATCTTTTGGGAGATGGTTGGTGGTGTCATGTAGATGTGCAGTAAGGTTTCAGAATTTTGATATTGCCCCGGGGGGTCAAATGGGGGTCGAAAAATGACGTTTTTTTATGCAAAAAGCCCCGTCTTCCCTGAACTCCTCTTACATTTTACACAGTAGGCTAATCATCTTTTGGGAGATGGTTGGTGGTGTCATGTAGATGTCCAGTAAGGTTTTGGAATTTTGATTTTGCCCCGGGGGGTCAAATGGGGGTCGAAAAATGACGTTTTTTATGCAAAAAGCCCCGTCTTCCCTGAACTCCTCTTACATTTTACACAGTAGGCTAATCATCTTTTGGGAGATGGTTGGTTGTGTCATGTAGATGTGCAGTGAGGTTTCGGAATTTTGATTTTGCCTCGGGGGGTCAAATGGGGGTTGAAAAATGACGTTTTTTATGCAAAAAGCCCCGTCTTCCCTGAACTCCTCTTACATTTTACACAGTAGGCTTATCATTTTTTGGGAGATGGTTGGTGGTGTCATGTAGATGTGCAGTAAGGTTTCGGAATTTTGATATTGCCCTGGGGGGTCAAATGGGGGTCGAAAAATGACGTTTTTTATGCAAAAAGCCCCGTCTTCCCTGAACTCCTCTTACATTTTACACAGTAGGCTAATCATCTTTTGGGAGATGGTTGGTGGTGTCATGTAGATGTGCAGTAAGGTTTCGGAATTTTGATTTTGCCCCGGGGGGTCAAATGGGGGTTGAAAAATGACGTTTTTTATGCAAAAAGCCCCGTCTTCCCTGAACTCCTCCTACATTTTACACAGTAGGCTAATCATCTTTTGGGAGATGGTTGGTGGTGTCATGTAGATGTGCAGTAAGGTTTCGGAATTTTGATTTTGCCCTGGGGGGTCAAATAGGGGTAGAAAAATGACGTTTTTTATGCAAAAAGCCCCGTCTTCCCTGAAATTCTCTTACATTTTACACAGTAGCCTAATCATCTTTAGGGAGATGGTTGGTAGTGTCATGTAGATGTGCAGCAAGGTTTTGGAATTTTGATATTGCCCTGGGAGGTCAAATGGGGGTGGAAAATTACATTTTTTGTGCAAAAAGTCCTGTCTTTCCTGAAGTCCTCCTTAATGTTACTCAGAAGCCTAATCATCTTTTAGGAGAGTTAAATATCTTGAAAATTATGTAAAACATTAACGTTAAAGAGTAAAAAAAACATTGCAAGCTGGGAAACATCTTGAATTTTTATGAGTAATTAATGTACAAATGTCAAATGTGAGAGTCATATCTCATCTCAATCAAAAGTTATAAGCAAATGCAACATTTTTGAAAAGTAGGTTAGGCTTCAAGGTCAAGGTCACAGAGTAAAAGTCATGATTCATTTGAAAAGATCTTATCACAGGTAATAATATACATGCATTATAATATGAATGCCCTAACTTTTCTCATTCAAAATGATGAATTTATAACAATTTAATTTTTTTTTGCAAGTAGGTCAAACTTCTAGGTCATATGTAAAAAAAAAAAAATCATGCCATTCTCACAGGTAAATACTAGTACATAAGTTTAATATGAATGCCTTGTCTCTTCTCATTCAGTAGATATGACTGTGATAACCAAGGTTAATTTTATTCAGACAGAAGAACAGTCTGACATACAAATGTACATATTTCTATATGAATTGCATGGGTAAAATTGGACCAGTGGTTCTAGAAAAGTTAAAAATGTAAAAAGTTTTCAGACAAACAGATGGACAACATGTCACAACAGACGTTATATGACAAGGAAACCAGAAAAGCTCAAATGAGTGTTTTGAAAGGGTTACAATATGGTTGCAGTACTTGAAAAGCTGGGTTTTTTTCATGCAGAGATATGCATGACCAACATATTCATGTTTTATATTTTCTTTAGTAATTTGTTTGTTTGTTGTGAATACATATCTCATTGGAATTTTTCCGTCATATGGAGACACCACCAAATAATAATGAAGACAAGATGTGTTTGTGAAACACTGATGTCCCTGTCTGGTAGCCTATGGCGAAGGTTGAAGTTTCTCAAATATATGTCAAACTCAAAGGTCAAGGTCAAAAGGTTCAATTGTTGGTATCAGAAAAAAGTCTTGTCACAAGGAATGCACATGTGAAATAAGTAATCCCTAGTACTTCCTCTTCAAAAGTTAATTGCCAAGGTTAATTTTTTAAGTGGTTCAAACTCTACGGTCAAGGTCAAACATATTTATACCTGTTGACAGTTCACAATGAATACACATGTTAAGCATGAAAGCCCTAGCACCTACTGATCAAAATTTAGGCCAAGTTTAAAGTTGGGTATTTTTCTTGTAAAAATGTGTATTCTAGGTCAAGTGATCAGAGGTAAAAATTAATGGTACCCAAATAAAAGGTCTTAATTGTCACAAGAAATAAACCTATAAAATGTGGAAGCCAATTGTATAGCCCATCCCACTTAAAACTTATGGGCAAGGTTATAATTTCTGCAGACAAATATACAGACATCATATAAACACAAGAAACAAAATATATACATAATTAGTCAAATGGGAAAAAATATACTATTTAATTGGAATCACAAAATAGATTGTTATTTCAGGGATAGGGTGTGGGTTGGGATATTGGAACCCCCCCCCCCCCCTGGAATTTCCTTTGTTATTTAAACAAGACTATATACTGAAGCAAATAAAAAATGATTTTGGACATCCTCCCCCTAACTAAGAAAACATTGGGGTTTTTTTTGTTTATTTGTTTTCAGTGTATGATTTTTTTCTCCTGATTGTCAGGAAATTCTAGGCATGAATATTTTGACTGAGATGTGAACCCCCCTCCCTACTCCCGAAAAAAATTCTGGATCCGCACCAGTATTGGCAGTAACTGAATGTCACATCGACAAGGGGAGATAACTTCACAATATGAAATTCGTCTAGTGTGGCATGCGATGATCTTTGACCCTTTTTGAACTTTAACCTAATCGTTTGGGTTTATTTTACCCCCACTATACTTAAACTTGTACTTACCGACCTCCATAGGTCCTGTAAACTTCATGAAATATAAATCCAATTATAACACAAAATGAATTAATCCAAAGCACACCATTCTGCCCCCCTTTTTTTCCCAACATTACCTGTACTATAAGGAAATGTCCATTAAAAAGATGGTTGCCTCCTCCCCCCACTTTTAACCACAGTATATAGATTGCAAGGAAATATGGGAAAAATTGGAAGTGAAAGTAATTTTGCCTTGAAAAAAAAGTGGCCACCACCCCCCCCCCCCACCCCCACCCCCCCCCCATTTCATTTTTTTTCCTTGTTAATTTTTTTAGGTTAGTAAAAAAAATTTTCTCAGGTTGCCCCCCCCCCCACTTTCAAAAACGATGCTACGTGCCTGAATTATATAGAATTATTTTGACTTTTTCCTTGGTAAGCCGCCCGTAGGATTGTGTATTTAGAGGCAAACACCTTAGTGCGGGTATTACTGTCTCATGACAGCATCTAGTTTAAAACTGTTTTGATGAAAGACTGCTTATAACAATGTACATTATATTTTTAGCTCACCTGAGCTGAAAGCTCAAGTGAGCTTTTCTGATCACATTTTGTCCGGCGTCCGTCTGTCTGTCCGTCTGTCTGTCCATCTGTCTGTCTGTCCGTCTGTCTGTAAACTTTTCACATTTTCGACTTTTTCTCAAGAACCCCTAGGCCAATTTCAACCAAACTTGCCACAAAGTATCCTTGGGTGAAGGGGATTCAAGTTTGTTCAAATGAAGGGCACACCCTCATTCAAGGGGAGATAATTGGGAATTAATGAAAATTTGGTGGCATATTTTAAAAATCTTTTTCTCAAGAACCACTGTGCCAGGAAAGATGAAACTTATGGGGAAACATCCTCAGGTAGTGTAGATTCAAATTTGTTCAAATCATTACCCCCGGGGGTAGGGTGGGGCCAAAATGGCCGACCTTAGTTTTACATAGAAATATATAGGAAAATTCTTTAAAAATCTTCTTTTCAAGAATGACAAAGCCATAATTCATCATATTTATATGGAAGCATGCTCAGGTAGTGTAGATTCAAGTTTGTTCATATCATGACCCCCCGGGGGTAGGGCGGGGCCAAAATGGCCGACCAAAGTTTTACATAGAAATATATAGGAAAATTCTTTAAAAATCTTCTTCTCAAGAATGACAAAGGCATAATTCATTATATATTTATGGAAGCATGTTCAGGTAGTGTAGATTCAAATTTGTTCAAATCATGACCCCCGGGGATAGGGCGGGGCCAAAATGGCCGACCAAAGTTTGACATAGATATATACTGGAAAATTCTTTAAAAATCTTTTTCTCAAGAATGACAAAGCCATAATTCATCATACTTATATGGAAGCATGCTCAGGTAGTGTAGATTCAAGTTTGTTCATATCATGACCCCCTGGGGGTAGGGTGGGGCCAAAATGGCCGACCAAAGTTTTACATAGAAATATACAGGAAAATTGTTTAAAAATCTTCTTCTCAAGAATGACAAAGGCATAATTCATCATATGTATATGGAAGCATGCTCAGGTAATGTAGTTTCAAGTTTGTTCAAATCATGACCCCCTGGGGTAGGGCGGGACCAAAATGGCCGACCAAGTTTTACATAGAAATATATAGGTAAATTCTTTAAAAATCTTCTTCTCAAGAATGACAAAGCCATAATTCATCATATTTATATGGAAGCATGCTCAGGTAGTGTAGATTCAAGTTTGTTCAAATCATGACCCCCGGGGGTAGGGTGGGTCCAAAATGGCCGACCAAAGTTTTACATAGAAATATATAGGAAAATTCTTTAAAAATCTTCTTCTCAAGAATGACAAAGCCATAATTCATCATATTTATATGGAAGCATGCTCAGGTAGTGCAGATTCAAGTTTGTTCAAATCATGACCCCCCCCGGGATAGGGCGGGGCCAAAATAGCTGACCAAGGTTTACATAGAAATATATAGGAAAATTCTTTAAAAATCTTCTCAAGAATGACAAAGCCATAATTCATCATATTAAATATTTATATGGAAGCAAGCTCTGGTAGTGTAGATTCAAGTTTGTTCAAATCATGACCCCCCGGGGGTAGGGCGGGGCCAAAATGGCTGACCAAAGTTTTACATAGAAATATATAGGAAAATTCTTTAAAAATCATTTTCTAAAAAATAGCAAATCCATGATTGGTCATGGGACTACTTTTGGATTTAAACTTTACAATAAAAAGCCATTTTCTACTTTTTCCTACCCTTAGTGCTCAGGTGAGCGATGTGGCCCATGGGCCTCTTGTTTTGTGTATACAATATTTTATAACCTGTAAGAAAATTCCTATTTGGTCATAATTCAGTCTTGCAAATTCAGAATTGAAGTATGGGAATAAGTAGGAGGAAATGTTAATTTTTTTCCAAGAACAGGAGGCGTATGATTAGTGATATCAATGTTAGCATTGTCAGGTAGTGTGAATTCAAAGTTCAAATCATGGCCTTCCAAGGACAGGGTTGAGCTAAATGGGTGATCAATATTTTAATGGAAAAAAATAAGGATGTTATTAGGGAGAAAATCTTTCAAGATAGGACAACACTAAATTGCATTTACATACTAAACATCGCAAAGATCTGGATTTATTTTACTTTTTTACCTGGGATAAATAAGGCTAAAATTTCTTTTTCACATAATGCATGTTTACAATCTGCAGAACAGGAAGTGATGTCATAATGGTGTTGAAGCATCCTCAGGTTGTGTTGATATACATGTATAACATGATCCCATAGGGGTAGGATGGGACTATAACATGGGATAGAAGATCATCATGTGCAATACTGTAAATCACTTTTTATTCGCGAGAACTTTATTTTCGCGTAATTACGCAAGACAATGCGTTCGCGAAAATTAAATTCTCGCGTATAAAAGTATTCCTTAAGATTATATAGAGGAATAACAACTATTCGTGAAAATTATGTCTCGCTTACAAAGAGTCAATGACAATCTCGCGAAAATAAGGTGTCGCGAAAATTTAGTGATCTACAGTAGTTTGAAAGTAATTTTTAGCTCTACTGGTCAGAGATCAGAAGAGCTTATGTGATAGTAATGCATCCGGCGTCAGTCCGTCTGTCTGTCCGTCTGTAAACAATTTTTCAAAATGCTACTCCTCCTACAGTTTTGGTCTGATTTCAATATAACTTGGCACAAAAGTAGACTACACTAAGATACATAATTCTATTTATTGGTTTTTGATTTCAATAAACGTTGTTGCCGTGGTTACTAAAAATAGATTTTTTTTTTGAAAATTATTCAAAATGCTACTTCTCCTACAGTTTAAGTCTGATTTCAGTATAACTTGGCACACAAATAGACTACACTATGATACATAATTCTTTGTATCGGTTTTTGATTTCGATAAACGATGTTGCTGTGGTTATTAAAAAGGGAAATTTTTTGAAAATCATTCAAAATGCTACTTCTCCTACAGTTTAAGTCTGATTTCAATATAACTTGGCACACAAGTAGACTACACTATGATACATAATTCAATATATCGGTTTTTGATTTCGATGAACGGTGTTGTCGTGGTTACTAAAAATAGAATTTTTTAAAATACATTCAAAATGCAACTCCTCCTACAGTTTTGGTCTGATTTCAATATAACTTGGCACACAAGTAGACTACACTAAGATACATAATTCTTTACATCGGTTTTTGATTTCGATGAACGGTGTTGCCGTGGTTACTAAAAATGGGAATTTTTTGAAAAACATTCAAACTGCTACTTCTCCTACAGTTTTAGTTTGATTTCAATATAACTTGGCACACAAGAAGACTACACTAAGATACATAATTCTGTTTATCGGTTTTTGGTTTCGATGAACAGTGTTGCCATGGTTACCAAAAATAGAAATGTTTGTGAAAATCATTCAAAATGCTACTTCTCCTACAGTTTAAGTCTGATTTCAATATAACTTGGCACACAAGTAGACTACACTAAGATACATAATTCTCTATATCGGTTTTTGATTTCGATGAATGGTGTTGCCGTGGTTACTAAAAATAGAAATTTTTTGAAATACATTCAAAATCCTACAGTTTAAGTCTGATTTTAATATAACTTAGCACTAGGGATGGGTATTGCCGAAAATTTCGTATCGCGATATATCACGATTTTCTCCCACAATATCAAGATAATATTATGATATGTTTAATGTATGAAAAGTCATTATTTTTCTAAAAAATATGCTAGAAAAACAAAATTTTACTTTCTTGAAATTTTTATGATATATAAGATCAAATATGTTTGGACAGTAAGATATGCCGTTCTTTTCACTTTTTAAAACATTTTTTATACTTTCTGTAATTGTAATTTGAAAGACTGAACAAATAAATGAATAATTTCTGGACTTTATAATATGTACCTAAAGACCGGTATTTAGGTCTCCGTATCACGATACGTATCACGCAACAAAAAATCGCGATATACCGGTATACCGATAAAATCGCACATCCCTACTTAGCACACAAGCAGACTACACTGAGATACATAATTATCAGTTTTGTGTTTTCGATTTAGTTGATTTACGTTGCCATAGTAATTTAAATTGAAAATTCTGTGAAATTTTACTAAAAGCTACTCCTACAGTTGTAGTCTTATTGCAATCTTGCCTCAAAAAGAGACTTAATCAAGATCATTGTTCTATTTATGGCTTTTGTAAAGTTTTAAGTTTCAACTGCTACTTTACTCTTTCTTTATTATAAGTACAAACCAGTAGAGCTACAGTCTCGACAGAGACTTCTGGTTATTTATTTATTTTTTTTAATCTAATGAGAACTGTGGGCAAAAGTTACCAAGGTGGGCATTGGGACCCCCTTTTCAATCCAAATCTTCAATGAAGATGGTGTTTCATGATTACAAATGCATGATGATATTTAGTGTTCAGTTTTTAAAAAACAACTAAAACAGGTACCAAACCATCAATAGAGATATTTTTTTAAAGCTTTTCTCTATGGTTGATAAGAGAAACAAAATATTCACTAGTATATATTGTAGGAAATTAGGCTGGACTGAGGACATCGGCCTGGATAGCTCAGTGGTTAGAGCACCTGACTAGAAATATAGGGGTTCTGGGTTCGATTCCGGGTCCAGCCATATGTGTTCAGTATATATATGTATTTATGAATTTTCAATGTATGTTTACTCATTCCTCCTTTCCATACTACAATATGTACCACACGTAATATGTGATCGATTGGAATTTTAAAGATATAAAGGTTACATACTAGGTCATTCACATTGTAACTGATACATTTTGTTTTCTAGGTCATAGACCTACCAGAAGGAGGCTCTGCATTGATAATGGAACATGTTGAAATTAACAGTTTGTCCTCTCAGGCTGGGAAGTTAGGGGAATTAATGGCCAGGTAATAAACTGTTTAAACAACACAGTTTATATTGAAGGGGAATTAGACTGTTCAGACAGTATAAAGTGTATAATGGCTGTATGGTGTTCATTAGATTCAGTTCCAGGTGGTTTTAGGTTGTTCATAGTAAACAGTTCAGAGTGGTTTTAGGTTGTTCATAGTAAACAGTTCAGAGTGGTTTTAGGTTGTTCATAGGAAACAGTTCAGAGTGGTTTTAGGATTTTCATAGGAAACAGTTCAGAGTGGTTTTAGGTTGTTTATAGGAAACAGTTCAAAGTGATTTTAGTTTGTTCATAGGAAACAGTTCAGAGTGGTTTTAGGTTGTTTGTAAGAAACAGTTCAAAGTGATTTTAGGTCATTCATAGGAAACAATTCAGAGTGGTTTTAGGTTGTTCATAGGAAACAGTTCAGAGTGGTTTTAGTTTGTTCATAGGAAACAGTTCAGAGTGGTTTTAGGTTGTTCATAGGAAACAGTTCAGAGTGGTTTTAGGATTTTCATAGGAAACAGTTCAGAGTGGTTTTAGGTTGTTTATAGGAAACAGTTCAAAGTGGTTTTAGGTTGTTCATAGGAAACAGTTCAGAGTGGTTTTAGGTTGTTTGTAAGAAACAGTTCAAAGTGATTTTAGGTCATTCATAGGAAACAATTCAGAGTGGTTATCGGTTGTTCATAGGAAACAGTTCAGAGTGGTTTTAGTTTGTTCATAGGAAACAGTTCAGAGTGGTTTTAATTTGTTCATAGGAAACTGTTCAGAGTGGTTTTAGGGTGTTTATAGGAAACAGCTCAGAGTGGTTTTAGGTTGTTCAGAGGAAACAGTTCAGGGTGGTTTTAGGTTGTTGCAGCAAGTATGTGATTGGATGAAGCATTTCAGCAGATCTCAATTCAAAGCTCAATCAAGCTTTTGTGATCAAAGTTTATTTGTTGTGTTTTGTCTCTTGGCCTTAAGAGATTTCAATTTACTAAAGCTACTCATTACAATCCATTGTCAGCCATCATTATCCATTGTTAGTTGTGCTTTGATAGTTCAAAAAGTTGCAAAAAATGCAAAAACTAGTGGTAGTTTATAAGAAACAATTCTATGCTCTTTTTTAGGAGATATTTATACCCCACAAGTTGCATGAGGTATAATGTTTTTGACCCATCAGTCAGTCAGCCAGAGTGTCAGTCAGTCAGTCAGTCCGTCAGTCCTGTTTTTTTGTCAGCGCAACTCCTCTTAAACCGCTGCACAGAATTTCATCAAACTTTGCAGATATTTAGGACATAATGTGTAGATGTGCATATTACCAAGAAATTCTGATTCCTTTATTTTTTCTGGGAATTTCCACACTTTTCAACTTAGATTTTTTGGCCATATCTTGAATATAGAAATGAACAGTTTGGCAGTGCAACTCCTCTTAAACTGCTGCACAGAACTTCGTCAAACTTTGCAGATATTTAGGACACAATGTGTAGATGTGCATATTACCAGGAAATTCTGATTTCTTTATTTTTTCCTGGAATTTTTACACTAAAAACTTGGATTTTTGTCCATACCTTGAATATAGAGATGAACATTTTGTCAGCGCAACTCCTCATAAACCGCTGCTGAGAATTTCGTCAAACTTTGCAGATATTTAGGACACAATGTGTAGATATATCTTTCACTGGGAAATTCCGATTCCTTTATTTTTTCCAGGATTTTCAGCACTTTGAGTTTTGGTGAGCGTGGGGTATGTGAGCTTGCTCACTTTTTCTTTCATTAGTAGATATTTTTTTATTCCTGAGTATTTTTCTACATAGGTTACACATGCTAAACTCAGAGCTGCTGGAGAAATCAAAGAACCTGGAGAAATTTGTGGGTAAAGCAGGCCAGCTGTCTCCCGTCACACAGTTTGGGTTCGACGTAAACACGTGCTGTGGATACATACCACAGGACAATACCTGGCAAAAGAACTGGGTGGTAGGATGCTCAAGTTTCAAATTAAGTTATTCAACTTTTTTCTATAATTTTTTTTTGAATTGGCTTAAATAATCTCAGCAATGGAAATATTAACCAGATTTTTCCTTTGCTTGGACCATAAAATACAAGATGTCGATCCTCTTGCTTGAAATTGAAATTTTGAAAATCAGAAAATAATTGTCTTTAAAAATGAAAGCTTTGGGAAAACCTGTTTCTAAATCTAAGCAATATTATATCCTTTGATCCTCTTATTTTGTTGGCTACTCAAAGGATATTACAATGTCCTCTATTCTGTCAGGTGAACAAATTTTTAATCATGCTCTACAAAGAAACGAGTATGCATGTATTTGGTAAGGAATTAAGTCAGACACATTTTGTGTTAATTTACAATATAAAATGTTTGTCGGAAGGTATTTACTGTACAAAGTACCTCCTAACAGATATAAAGTATATCTAAAAAAAAACTTTTGTGATTTTCAGGATTTTTATTCAAGAAAGTTAAAACAGCAACTTGATATGGTGGAGAAAGACGTAAGTTTTTTTAACAATTTTTTTTTTAAATTATATTCTGAGAATACAGTTAGCATAGGTGTAAAGGTTAATTTCATTTCAGCACTTTGGAAAATAACAATATCCAGCCAGTATGTTAAAAGTTACAAGTGTATTGTGACTTTGTCTCATTATTATATCTGAAGTTCAAGGCCACATTCTTGCAGCTGAGTTTAAAACTGACTGCATGATGTATTTTATCTGGCTTGTAGAACAATGCCGGTAGACATATTCATTTTGGAAAGGTATTAATTTTGAATTTATAATGAAACTGTTATAAATCCACTGTTGTCTGATTCCTCATTATTGGCCATTAAAGCTGTGGTACCTGGGGTAGTAACAGTCTTTCCATCTCCCCCTGTCTTGGGTCAGTTTTCTCGAACATCCATGGTGTGGAGTTTTTATCTCATTCTTCTCTGGTCTTCTCTACATTGTTCTTGGTCTTTCTATCTTTCTTCTTCCATCTGGAAATCAATGGAGTGCACTTCTTTTGATTGACTCAGCTATTTCTCTGAGGCATGTGCCCTATCCATCTCCATTGTTTCATGGAAATGATGGGTTCCATGTTCTATTGTCTGCATATCCCAAGCAGTTCTTCATTGAAGATTATTTCTGGCCTTACAGTGTAATATTTGGAGGAGTTTGTAAGAGGACTTAGGATCATGTCATGGTGCTTTGTCAATGTCTGCAAATTTTTAGCTCTTCTGAGCCAAAGGCTCAAAGAGCTAATGCTATGGACATTTGTGCGGTGTGCGGTGTGCTGTGTGCGTAAACTTTATAGAATATGGGCCATAACTCAAGAACCCCTTGGCCAATCAGTACCAAATTTGTCACAGGGTATCCTTGGCCCAAGGGCTACCATTTATACTAAAATAAGGGTTGGGACCCTTAAACAAGGGGAGATAATCAGGAAAACAAAACCCAAAGTACTGGTTGCTAAAAAATCTTCTGCTCCATAACCACCAGGCACATTTTCACCAAACTTACATACAAGGATCAGGATATGTCGAAGATTAAAATTTGCACGAGAAATTACCCTTGGGCAAAGGGCGTGGTCTCAAGGTCACTTCAAAGTTGACCTAAATTTACAATTAATAAAAACGTGTATATTTTGCTTACTATAAAGACTAGGGTCATCAAATTTTGTAAGTTGATGCATCTTATGACTTCACATCATGTTAACTCAAAAGTAGGTCACGGTGACCTATTTTTTAAATTTTGCGGGGATTTGTTTTCAAATTGATTTGAAGGCATATTTTGGACACTTTAAGGCCTATGATCATCAAACTTTGTTAGTTGATGCATCTTGGGTCCTCAAACAATGTCAACTTAAAAGTAGGTCACCATGACCTACTTTTTGAACTTTATGACTTATCCTTTTAAAAACATTAAATCCCATTATTTCAGACACTGGGAGGTTTAGAATCATCAAATCTTGTACTTTGATGCATCTTGGGACCTTAAAACATATTTATGAAAAAGTAGGTCACTGTGACCTACTTTTTGAATTTTGTTGACATTTGTTTTCAAATTGTTTAAAACGCATATTTTGATTACCTTCAGACCTACGATCATCAAACTTGGTCAGTAGATGCATCTTGGGTCTTTGAAAAATGTCGACCTAAATGTAGGTCTTGATGACCTACTTTCGACATTTTATGGCTATATTTTAGTATCTTAGGTATTTATTGGCTTAGAATCATCAAACTTTGGGAGTCAATGCATATTTGGTTTTCGGAGAGTGACGACCAAAAAGTAGGTCACGGTGACCTACTTTTGAAATTTTATGGCTTTATTTAAGTATCTACGGTACTTATAGGCTTAGAATCATCAAACTTTGTGAGTTGATGCATCTTGGGTTTTCATAGAGTGACGACCAAAAAGTAGGTCATGGTGACCTACCTTTGACATTTTGTGGCTATAATTAAGTATCTCTGGTACTTATTGACCTAAAATCATCAAACTTTGTCAGTTGAGGCATCTTGGGTTTTCGGAGAATGTCGACCAAAAAGTAGGTCACGGTGACCTACTTTTGAATATCTCAGGTACGTATTAGCTTAGAATCATCAAACTTTGTCAGTTTAGGCACCTTGGGTTTTGGGAGAACGTCGACCAAAAAGTAGGTCACTGTGACCTACTTTTGACATTTTATGGCTATATTTAATTATATCAGGTACTTATTGGCTTCGAATCATCAAACTTTGTCAGTTGAGGCATCTTAGGGTTTCATTGAATGTCCAACAAGAAGTAGGTCACGGTGACCTACTTTTGAATATATCAGGTACTTATTGGCTTAGAATCATCAAATTTTGTCAGTTTAGGCATCTTTGGATAACGTCGACCAAAAAGTAGGTCACCGTGACCTACTTTTGACATTTGATGGCTATATTTAATTATCTCTGGTACTAATTGGCTTAGAATCGTCAAACTTTGTCAGATGATGCATCTTGGGTTTTCAGAGAATGTTGACCAAAAAGTAGGTCATGGTGACCTACTTTGAATATCTCAGGTAGTTATTTAATTAGAATCATTAGTCTTTGTCAATTACTGTATCTTGAGTTCTCAGAAAATTTCAATCAAAAGGTAGGTCACTGTGACCTACTTATGGTATTTTATAATTATATCATAATATCTTCAGTCTTAACTGGCTAAATATTATCAAACTTTGTAAGTTAATGCAATTTGGGTCTTATGATACTAATAGAGTTGGAGGCTTCTAATACAAGTGATAGATTGTACAATTTATCAGAAGAGCGATTCAAGGCCCTTGGGCCTCTTGTTTTTCACCTCTCCACTATTGAGCCATTGCACAGCACTGGATGGTGATGATGTTGGTGTGACTACCCTTTACTCTTCAACTCATCAGTCTTCTGTTTTTGGGCTTTCACTTCAGCAGGCATTACTCCAAGCCTTTTTAAAGGATAATTGCTGTGGTGCTGTTCATTATCTCAAGAGTAGAGGAATTTCACTGGTGGTGGTTCTCACCCTTTACTCTCACTCACTCCTAGACATGAAGTCTGAACTTCCTCATCTCGGGTGTTATCTGTGCCAGCTTGTCTGTCCAGTACATTTTTCTTACATTTCAGTGTTCCAGTCTGATGGTGATTTTGGTAAGGTGTCCTAATGGCCACCAGAATTCATTAAAGTCTCACTTGACTCAGAAGTCTGTTGCATGCAAGTTTTTCTGTCGTTGTTTTCATAACTTTAAAAAGTTGGTTTTTGGATAGAGTTGCCCACCACCCCCCCCCCCCCCAACCTGTTGACCAGTGGATCACATTTTGTCTGGTCTCTACCCATTGACCTGCCAAGCAAAAGTAGCCCTACAGTAATCATGCTCCCATAAGCCTAGCCCTCTGGGTCAATGAGAAACACAATCCCTTTACCACATCAATATTATTATCCCTGGAGGGATTCATATGTAGTATGGAACTTCAGTCTTTGAACTTTGATGTATTTTCAGTATCATGACAGAGAAGCTCAAGAGTTATGGTCAGAGCTCCAACCGAAGATTCCTACATTTTTTGACAAAATGGAAAACATCCAGCCAGCACTTATGCATGGGGATTTATGGGGCGGAAATGTTGGTGAAAATAAAAATGGCCCAGGTAGGATACTCACTGCAGATTACAGCTTATCTCCAGTTAATGAAATTGTGACACCTTTTTCAAGATGATTTTTTTTGCTTCAGTTATAATACAAGAACCAGTAAGCCTTTTCATAAAAAAATGTTAAAGTGAAATTTGATTTGTTAAAGGAAACTTCAAAAGGCATAATTTTTAAGAGTCCTATACCTCTCTTAAGTATTTTAAAGCTGTATACAACTATTTTGTATATTATTTAACACACTGTATAAGTAGAATTTTTAGCGAGGATTTAATTTTGGCATTATTAGCGAGGGTCCTGAGATCGCTAAAATTAAATATTGCTAAAAATAAATTGGGTATTACTTGTTATATCTTCTTAAGTGACCATTTTATAATCGCTAAAATTGCTTCTCGCTAAAATTAAAATGCTGATTTTTAAGATCAAATTGCTAAATTTGCGTCTCGCTAACATTTCCACTTATACGGTAAATACCATAATATACATAAAACAATTTTAACACATTCTAAAGAAGTATTTTTAGCTCACTTGAGCTGAAGGCTAAAATGATCTTTTTTGTTTGAAGAGTGTCCAGCACCCTTCTGTTCATTGTCTTCTAATGTCTGTAAACTTTTCATATTTTGTTTTTATTCTTAAGAATCACAGGGAAAATTTATTTCAAACAAAATTTGCCATAAAGCATCCTTGAGTGAAGGGGATTTAAAGTTTTTTAGCTCACCTGAGCCAAAGGCTCAAGTGAGCTTTCTTGATCACATTTTGTCCGGCGTCCGTCTGTCTGTCTGTAAACTTTTCACATTTTCGACTTCTTCTCAAGAACCGCTGGGCCAATTTTGACCAAACTTGCCACAAAGTATCCTTTGGTGAAGGGGATTCAAATTTGTTCAAATAAAGGGCCACGCCCTCATTCAAGGGGAGATAATTGAGAATTAGTGAAAATTTGGTGGTATGTTTTAGAAATCTTCTTCTCAAGAACCACTGTGCCAGGAAAGATGAAACTTATGGGGAAACATCCTCAGGTAGTGTAGATTTAAGTTTGTTCAAGTCATGTAGTCTGGGGTAGGGTGGGGCCACAATGGCTGACCAAAGTTTTATATAGAAATATATAGGAAAATTCTTTAAAAATCTTCTTCTCAAGAACAGCAGAGCCATAATTGCTCATATTTATATGGAAGCATCCCCAGGTAGTGTAGATTCAAGTTTGTTCAAATCATGCCCCCTGGGGTAGGGCGGGGCCACAATAGCCGACCAAAGTTTTACATAAAAATATTGAGAAAATTCTTTAAAAATCTTCTTCTCAAGAACAGAAAAGCTTTTATCGTTCATATTTATATGGAAGCATCCCCAGGTAGTGTAGATTCAAGTTTGTTCAAATCGTGACCCCCGGGGGTAGGGCAGGGCCACAATGGCCGACCAAAGTTTTATATAGAAATATATAGGAAAATTCTTTAAAAATCTTCTTCTCAAGAACAGCAGAGCCATAATTGCTCATATTTATGTGGAAGCATCCCCAGGTAGTGTAGATTCAAGTTTGTTCAAATCGTGACCCCCGGGGGTAGGGCGGGGCCACAATGGCCGACCAAAGTTTTATATAGAAATATATAGGAAAATTCTTTAAAAATCTTCTTCTCAAGAACAGCAAAGCTAT